ACTGGTGTACAGACTATATCACCTCTCCTTTGCTCACAATCAACATCTCATCTTGCAATCTATCTCTTCTCCCATCTCACAATTCAATATCTCCCTCTCTCCTCTCCTAATAACTCCCTCCCGTGAGCTTACGCTCCTTGCAAGGTTCTATGTCATTCCAAGAACGCATGTAAGGTTGAAGAACAGATACAACAGGTTCTATAGGTGATCTTGCTGTCCTCAATTTCATGCGTCTGACGGTTGTCCTTGTTAACTCCCACTCCTGCTCCTGCTCCTGCTCCTGCTCCTGCTCCTGCTCCTGCTCCTGCTCCTCGCTCCTCCTGCTCCTGCTCCTGCTCCTGCTCCTGCTCCTGCTCCTGCTCCTGCTCCTCCTGCTCCTGCTCCTCCTGCTCCTGCTCCTGCTCCTGCTCCTGCTCCTGCTCCTGCTCCTGCTCCTGCTCTTGCTCCTCCTTCTGGTCCTTCTCCTCGATTTCTTCCTCCTCTTTCAGCTCGAAGATTCTCCCCTACCTCACAAGAGGCCAGCGGAGATTCGAAACCTTTGCAGATTTCGGATTTCCTCAGGTATTCATACCTCCCTCTCTCCTGCTCCTTCTCCTCATTCTCCTTCTCCGCTTCCTCGTTCTCCTAGTGCTACTTCCTCGTCCTCTTCGTCCTCCTCCTCTTCCTACTCCTCCACCACCTCTTCCCTCTTCCTCCCTCTTCCTCCCTCTTCCTCCCTCTTCCTCTCCTCGTTCCCCTCCTCCTCATTCCCCTCCTCCTCATTCTCCTCCTCCTCCTCCTGCCCCTCTCCTCCTCCTCATTCTCCTCCTCATGCTCCCCCTCCTCCTCCTCCTCCTTCCCCTCCCCTCCTCCCACTTCGTCTTCTTCCTCCTCCTCTTCCTCCTGCTCTCACCGCCCTCCCCGCAAACTCTAATTCTCTCTTCTTCTCTCAGCGCATCTTTCTTGCCGGGATGTCTTGTGTCGTTTTCTAGCCATCATGTTGTACATCATGTTGCAACAGGTTCAAGTCTATTCGCATACGACCAGCTCCTGACATTCCTGCAGTACAACCGAGTAATGAACATGCTGGAGCTGAGCAGACCGTTGCTGATGGGTGAGGGGAGGAGGGAAGTGTAGGGAGAGGAGAGGGAGGGGATGAGAGGAGGACTGAGAGGAGGAAGACGAGCAGAGGAAGAGGAGAGGTGGTGAGCAGGGAGGGGATGGAGGAGGGAAAGGAAGGAGGAGGGGATGGAGAAAGAGAAGGAAGGAGGAGAAAAAAGAGGGGCAGGGGAGAGAGGAGGGGAGAGAGAGGAGGGTGATAGGAGTTACTTAAGCGGTTACCGAAGAGAGAGGAGGGGAGGACAGCAGAGGAGAGAGGAAGGAGGAGAGCAGAGGAGAGCAGAGCAGAGCAGAGCAGAGCAGAGCAGAGCAGAGCAGAGCAGAGCAGGGGAGAGGAGAGGGAGAAGAGGAAGGCAGGAAATTATTCTCTTGACCTTCGAATGACTGCAAAGAGGAAATTGTACGTTTAAACCTTTATGCCTTCGATCTCTCGACGTTGAAACAAAAGGTTTCTTCCCCCCTGTACACGCTATTCACCCACATCACTCCTCCTCCTCATACTCCTCTTCTCCTGCCCCCCCCTTCCTCCCTCCTCCTCCTCTCCTCCTCCTCTCCCCATCATCCGATCGTTCTCCTCCTTCATTCCATCCCTGCAGCTCCTCCAGCTCATCCTGCTCCTCCTACTCCTCCTCCTACTTCTCCTCCCTCCTCTTCCTACTTCTCCTGCTCCTGCTTACCACCACCAACACTCCAACGCTCTCCTCCTTGTTCAGGCCTTCTCCTGTATGACTCTTTCTCGTCAGGTCTGGGCTGGAGTTCTGCCTTTTGGAATCGCAGATCGAGAAATTCTGCCAGAGGTGAGGAAGGCGAGGAGGAGGAGGAGGAACAGCAGCAGCAGCAGCAGCAGCAGCAGCAGCAGCAGGGAGGAGCAGGACAGGAGCAGGAGCAGGAGGAGGTGGAGAAGGAGTTGAGGAGCAGGAGATGGACGAGGAGGAGGACGAGGAGGAGGAGGAGGACGAGGGGAGGAGGAGGAGATGAGTATGAGACGTGGCCATGGACAGGTGAGCAACATTTCCTCCGGTCAGATCGGGTACATTACCCCTCGCAACGACAGATGTCAGACAACAAAAGCTGTGGTGAGTACAATGACGATGATATTACATGTAGTCTCCTCACAACAAGTCAGGTCCGATCGTTTGCATTCATCAGGAGCATCAATGAAGATCCAGGTGATCACATGTGTTTGTACCTTCAACATCACGCGCTCTTCAACAGCCTCCCGATTATCTTTCGTCTGTTTGCTGAGAGAGTTCAACCTGAGGTTTTCAAGATGATTTCATGACATCAACCTGACACCCCTCCAGGGCCTTCTCTCTGGACAACAGTTCCCAATGGATCTTATCCCAATTCCTGCAAAACGATCTGATGGTAGAACAAACATGAGACTATCATGGCGATTCTACATCTGAATCTCAACAAACAGAAACCTGACAACTTGAAATGGTCTAGCAAGACTCTTGTCTCAACCCTGATCTCTTCCGTCAAGTACAGGTAAGTCCTCCAGGTATCAGCTCCTACTCACCAACTTCGACCCTTCCAGCATGGCGACTTCAGTCTTTCTCTCCTTCGTCCTGACCTTGTTGTCGGGTAACAATCTCCTGCCCTCCTGCTCCTGCTCCTGCTCCTGCTCCTGCTCCTGCTCCTGCTCCTGCTCCTTGTGATTTTCGCTACCCCTGCCCGTTGGGCTCGTCACTACCTCGTCATCGTTCTCATCCTCATTCTCGTCTTCTTTCCCGCTTCTTCATGTCTTCCCCTCTCTCTCTCCTCGCTTTCACCATCGTCCTCGTCCGCCTGACTCGAACCTCCAGCCGTGGGGCTGATGAACGGATATCGTCGAGACGTCTTTGCTGCGAGGAGAGGAGGAATAGCTGATCAAATGTACGAGCCAAGATATCCCCCCCCCCCTTGCTCCTGCTCCTGCTCCTGCTCCTGCTCCTGCTCCTGCTCCTGCTCCTGCTCCTGCTCCTGCTCCTGCTCCTGCTCCTGCCTCGGCTTCTGCTCCTGCTCCTGCTCCTGCTCCTGCTCCTGCTCCTACTCCTTTTTCCTGCTCCTGCTCCTGCTCCTGCTCCCGCATTCTGCCTCCTCATTCCATTCCTCTTCCTGTTCTATCTCCTGATCCTTATCCTCATCTTCATATCTGTAGAGATCCCCCGAAGCCAACAAGAGCAGCAGCGTTTGTTGGAAGTCAGATCAGTGGTTTCTTTGCCGGTTGGATCGTTTTCTTTCTTGGGGTCTTCGCCTCCTGCCTTATCACCGCATGGCCGCCGCTCAGAAAGTACGTTGTCGACAAGACTCAGGTGAAGGAGCAGGAGCAGGAGGAGCAGGAGGAGGATCTGTACCAACCTGCAGGGGAGGAAAGGAGGGAATGGAGATGTTTATCATGATGATGCGAAAGAATGGATTGAAGAGGAGGATGCTTGTGAGGAGGAGGAGCGGGAGGAAGCACAGCAGAGGGGAGGGAACAGCAGCAGCAGCAGCAGCAGCAGCAGCAGCAGCAGCAGCAGCAGCAGCAGCAGCAGCAGCAGCAGCAGCAGCAGCAGCAGCAGCAGCAGCAGCAGCAGCAGCAGCAGCAGCAGCAGCAGCAGCAGCAGGCGTTTTTAAGGTCCTCACAGTCTGTTTCAGAGCTACACTGTTCTAGTTCTGATCGTCTTCTTCATCGGCTGGTTGTCAATCAAGTTCATCGCAACCTCAACAAAGTCGCCAGTCCGGCTCTCGGATCCAAAGTGAGTCAGTCCTGAGTATGAGAAGTTGAAGATACCCAGTTTGCCTCCTCCTCCTCCTCCTCCTCCTCTTCCTTCGCCTCCTCCTCCTCCTCCTCCTCCTCTTCCTTCGCCTCCTCCTCCTCCTCCTCCTCCTCCTCTGCCTCTCCCCTCCCCCTCTCCTACTCCTTTTTCCTGCTCCTGCTT